ATGAGGTACAAGCGGGCGATCGTAGCAAGAGCAGGAAACTATCGCTCGTGAACTTTTTACCACTGAAGTACATCAGCACTGAATGACTTGTTTTCCATCTTGAGGTAGACGTCCAGTTGCTGCTGGATGATGACCGGGGCAGCTGCAGCTTGGACATCAGCGCGATGAAGCTCCTCCTCAAACGTCATCGGCGTCTTCGCAACCGACTCCCTTGGCGCCTGACTGTTTCCTTAGAGCAATGGAGTCGCTACAGATCTTTGCGACAATGCGAGCGTGATCTCCATCGGGAACGTTCTTCAGGCGGTATCTAGGATCCAGACAATTCGCGATCAAAGCAGGCAATGAAACAACCAACCCATAGTAGCTAGCAAGCTTGGTCTGCATTGCTTGAGCTGCGCTTTTGAAGGCTGCATTGTCTGTTTCTGCAAGGGTACTGTCAATGTGCTTCTTTTCGAACTGGAAGAACGTCACCAACATACGCAATGAAGGATATGAGGCTGCACTCATAGCAGTGGTGATCTTTTCAAAGGGAGCAAGAAACTTGGATAGGGCCTTTGCATTCTCGAAGCCAGATGTCGAGAGTGGATATCCATAAGCTTCTGCCCGGTGCTTTAACTGATAGAGCGCAATTGGCACCTCCAGTTTAATAGCACTTTGGAGCATGGTGTAGCACGAGTTCCAGCGCGTATCCACATCTGCAGATCGATCAATTGTCACCAGCTGTAGCTTAGCTCTTGCATGCTCCGCATCCTCCTTTACTGTCCGCGCAATCGCGTTCAGCTGCTGCCTCTGCTCGCTAGACCGGCGCACAAAGTTCACAAAGTTGCGAATGGCATCAATCGATCCCATCGCCACAGCAAGGCCGGCTTGCACAATCAGATTGAGGCAACGTGCTGCGCAGCGCAGATGAACCGCCGCTACCTTGCCAAACAACATGGGAATAGGTTGGCCATCCCGTTGACCATGTTGTCAGCATTTTCAGTGGTAAAGGACACGGCACAGTCCAGCAGGCCAAACTCGCGAAGAATTTCAACAATACAGCTGGCCACCTCGGC